TTAAAGTAATAAAATTATATAAGTAATTTTTAAAGTATGAAAAAATATATTATATAATCTCTTAATATTAGTAAAATATATCAGTTTATAAGTGTGGAGATTAAATTGATAAATTTTTAATATTTTAAAAATTACTTACATAAATTTATTATTTTAAGGATTATTTAATTGAAAAAAAATTACTTGAACGAATAAATTAATGATTACTCATAGATTCTTTTCTATTTTCTATTATTACACTGTTATAATTATAATATAAGAGCTAATAAAATAGAAAAAGTTATTTCCCAAAGTAAAAGACCGATAGCAGGGGACATTGCCCAATTAAATTAGTACGGACAGAAACATGCGCCTCCTCGATCCGATCATGTCCAAATTAGAAATGAAAATAAATATCTTTTTCAGGATCACTGTTTGAAATGTACAGTATAGTTGAGAGTCAACAAAATTAACAATTAAGGGAAGAGAGAAGAGGTAGGAAGAAAAATAAAAGAAGTAAAGGACATATTCTATATATACTATACTATATATAGTACACATTTTCCTTTATAGGTAGAAAACTTTTTCATAGAGAAAAAATAAAAGAAAAATTAAACAATTTTGTACTGGAAGGATCCTGTCGGCCACGTGGGTCGGCCACGTGGACTGGCACGTCATGTCCTATCAGATATTGACGCAAGCCAGATGTCATTCCGGCTCGGCACAGGATCGAGATCCACATCTGCCTCATATCGGCTCGGCAAGATGCCGAACACAACGTCTCGACCATCCTGTATCGACCCGGCTGAAAGTCATTAGAGTAATTAGAACAGCGATCTCGATTAATAAGAGACGAAACATGATTAAGGTGTAACCCGCTGATTAACATCGTATTACCTAATTTGGTAAGTGTCAGAAAAAGCTCACTATGCTCAGGCCCATGTCAGGTATTATAAATAGGTCACATGTAACGAGGTATGTCACTATTCAATTATTACCCTAGGGATTCGTGCTTGTCCTGACTTGAGCGTCGGAGTGCCTTTTGCAAGTACCTCCCCCCTCTGAAGAATCCACCTGAAGCTCCCGTTCGACCCTCCTACACCCTAGAAGACTACGAGTGTACCTTCAAACAGGTACATTTTGGCGCCCACTGTGGGGCCGAACCGACAGCTTTTGAAGAAGTCAGACCAGGTACTATTTGGAAGAGATCATGGCAAAGACAAGGAGAAATCACACGGGAGACCACCGATCCGAAGAACTTGAAGTCCAGAAATTAATTCCAAGCCCAAATGATTATTAAACTGCCCTGAAAATAAAATTTGGAATAATTAGATTCAGAAAATTCAAATTAGTTAAAATATGAATTACCGGTCCAATTAAAGCCCAAATAGAAAACAGTCCAGAACATCAACAATTAAGCACAAATCGGAGATTAAAATAAGTACAGAAAGGTAAGAAAATAAGGGAAAATAATGACTCATCAGTAGTGTCTCACCTGCCAATCATATTTTAAGTCATTGTTAGATATATTATTAAAATATAAGATAATTGAAATTAAATACTTTGTTATATATCAAATCCTAGTCTATTTATTTTAATAAGATATCTAAACACATATTTTTAATGTCATAAATTGAGGGAATTGTTTTCCTCACCTTAGGATTCAATTCACATTGTAATATAAAAGTAAATTGTAACACCCTAAGATTTTTTTTAATAATTAATAATGACTAATTAGGAAGATAATAATAGTTTTACGTTATTTAATTGTGTTTGAGTTGTTCTTCATCATCATTCTTAAGTTATATGATGCTAAGGGACTAATAGGGTTTTTATCTTGAGTGGCACCAAAACTGTCACCAATGTCACTCTCGAACAACCGGCTTCTCTTGGTTGATGGAAGAGTCTTGAAGAAAGGTTGATGATTCTTCAAGTTACACCTTCAACGACCTTTGTTCTTGAGGTTGAACTCTTCAACAACGACAAAAGCACCTTGAAGGATTCTTCAATGGTGAAACACTAAGGAGTGCTCGGTTACTCCTTGAAGATGAAGGAACCTTGAGAGGACCAAGGCACAAAGGTTGAAAACCTTTGTGAGGAACCTAAGGAGAAAGTTCTCCACGGATTCTAAGGTGACTTTGAGAAGAGAGAATTCTATAAGAATTTCTAAATTCATTCATCAAAAGTGAGGGAAAATGGAAGGTTTACAAATTTATAGAAGTAGGTAGCTTACGGAGCAAGCTAACCTTAACCATGGTTCAAGAGAACCATGGTTTGGTTGCTTGATCATCCAACTAGTTTAGGAGGCTTGTGGAGAAAGCTTCTATCTTAGTTGCTTGGGAAGCAAGCTAAGTTAGAAGCTTATAGCACAAGCTTCCCAAAACTTTAAGGAAGGAGAAGCAATTCAGCCAAGGAAGGAACAAGGCAAGCTAGGTGGCCTTTAGACTAGTTTGCTCACTAAATCCGTTTCAAAAATGTTTGATTTGGTTTAGTTAGGTTCATCCAAAAATGATGAGACCTAGCTAAATCAAATCTTTGAAAAATTAGGAGCAAAACAAGTCTAATATGTAAAATTTTGCCTAAACCCAATTCTAGCTCAATTATTAGTCACACCCTCAAGCATTACTAATTGCCACGTCACTTCTACTACTGAAAAAATAGAAAAAGAGTAACTTTCAATACAAGGTTAAATGGAGTCAAAGTCTCTAAGTAACCTACCCTAGAAACAATATACAATGGTCTATAAAAATGAAATAAAGTGTCTCATAAATACAAAGGCAAAATAAACCTATACAAGTAGTTATTTGCAAACATATGAAAAAAGTCTTCAAAATCATCCCATTTCTCTTGGTTCCTTTAAAGTATCACCTCTTGGATTCCTTGGCCTTGGCATATTTCCATGATCGGTTCTATCGTTACCTCCCACAGAAGGTTTGAGATCTTGTCCTTCTTGGGCTCCTTCCTCCCATCGCTGGCTACTTCCGATTTGACCATTTACTTGGCGAACGGCTAGGGTCAAGTGGTGGGAGGAAGCGTGGTTGGACTACTGGTTGCTTCGGAGCCTGTGGTGATCATGGATGCTTCGTTCAACAACACTACTTATGAAAGGCTTCTTTGGAGGATGAAGACCCTTAATGCAAGGAGGTTCAATTGGGTCACCCGGTGCAAGTGTGGTGTTGCTCAATCATTACTTATGAGAGGAGGTAATTCAACTACTCCACTTTTCCATGGTTTGCCTCCTAATCTTTCTAAATTTTGTTCAAATGTCATATGAGTTGCCTTTTTGAGCTCATAATCCTTCACCGTTCTAAAGGGTTTGTTTGGATAAACAACTTAGTTTGAGATAAATTCTCGTTAAATGAGTGAGGACTTATTGGTATGCTTGATTACAAAGCTTATTCAAATAAACTAACAAGTTATATTTTATTTTCATTAGTTCAAATAAAATATTCCCATCAATGTTGTTATAGTTCTATTAGCTTTTTTGTGTGAAAGAGAGTAGAACCAAAAGGTCAAAGATATGTAAGTAGTGTGGGACTATTCTCCAAAATGTAATAAATTAATAAGAGACTAATATGCAAAAATTGAAACTTGCTTATAAAATAATAAATTTGATAAAAATCACATATGACATCATTTAAATGGCCCTAATCAAAAGAGACACTGATACCCTCTAAATAGAACTTGCACCAAAAGAAATGTCAGGGTTGTTTGGTGTCCACGATATAATAAGATATTATAAAATGTAAAAATAAGATAGAACATTATAAAATAAGAGCATTTAAACCCATATGTATGTTGTCTCCTTCCACTTGCAACAAGATTTTCTCTATGAAGAATGTTAGCGACATTCTCTTTATTATTGAATGAAATTTATTAAAAATATACAAATTTACTTTAAAAAAATATCTTAACCGTTGAATTATAATTTCATATTAACTTATATTTATGCCAAATTTTGTAAAAATTAAACAATAAAAAGATTATCAAGAGTAGCTCACAATTTAATGAGAAGTTTGGAAGAATAATAATCCATGTGTGGATCATATGAATATATAGTATTCACATCCGTGAATACCCACTAAATAAAATTATTTAAACATTTATATTTTATCTTACATTTTTATATTATTTTTAATATTTCAAAAAGTTATCATTAATCGCAAGTTTAAAAATTAATATCAATTGTTTATCTTTAATAATAATTTTTATAATAATTTTTTATAGTTTTTATATTTAGTTTTTTTTTACAAATATACATAGTTATCAATGAATATCCGTGAGTATTTATAAAATTTATAGATATCCACTTAACGGATACTCGCATAGGTATATGACAAATTTTATCTGATGACACGAGTACATATATCCTACTACCCACTCTCACGGACTTCATTTGTCATCCTTAGTGGTGATAACAATAATGATAATGTACTTTCACTACTACTACTACTACTATTTTTGACGATAATATCAATGTCTTTGTTGTCACCATCATCATTTTTGTTACATGTTAATTCTGCATGCATGATTTTTTTGTCAATTTACTTTTAATTTTTAAAATTCAACATTAACAATTTTTATTATTTAAAAATAAAAAACTAATTTAAAAATAAAAATAAAAATCTAATCCATTTATATATTTAATATCCTATATATACAATTTTTTTTCATCTTATTCTTATTTTTTTTTATACATATACCTCCAAAAATACACCTCAAATTAAAAGAACATTATTTGTTGTGTCATGCGGCGTCATTAAAAGAAAATGTTAAAATTAATGATGAAACAACCTATATATAATTTTTTAAGAATTTGTCACTAAAATATTTGCAACCTTATAATCAATGACGAAAATCAACACATTTATTTTGTTATTATCCGTTAAAATATATTTTTTGGTACGGGAAACAGTACTCTAGAATGTGAATTAATTAAAGTAATTTTTTATAAAAAAGTAGTATACCATATATTAACTAGCTACCTTTTCCATCCATATTTTATGATAAAGCATGCATATATAGGATATAAAAGATAAAGCGCACAAGTAGTTGCGGACGTTGGAGGAAACCTTGCAGCAACATGACAAAGAAGAAAGAGAGAAGGAAAGAGAGCAAACTGAGGAGTTACCTGAAGGCGCCTTTAAGGTTCTTGACAAAGGCCAGGGACATGTACGTTCGTGGCATGATCGACTGCTCTGGCCAATTATCCTATGTGGACGCCTCCATGGGATGCCCCACTGCCCACCTTTCCACAGTTCCAAGAAGCTTCAGTGTTAACTCAGCTTCAAGCGAAGATGATTTCAAGGACCTCGTAAGGGCCGCGTCGCTTAGGAGCTATGGCCATCACTTTCACTTTGATGAAGCTGCCATCAAAATGCCTCGCAGTCGCAGCGCCGGAATTGGAAGGATCGATGAAAACAAACCGTGTGAGTTTGGCCATGATGATGTGATCAAGGTCAGGCCCAATATTTATCCACGAAGTAAAAGTTATGCCATCCATAGAGGAGGAGCAGGGTTGTTTTGATTATTACAACGTTTTGTAACAAAAAAAAAAACATGTAAGATAATGATTGCTTGTTGTTTCTCTTGTTTGATAATTTGTGAAAATCGTTCAGTCTTTTCTTCTGGCCCCTGGAGTGTTATGTGAGAATTTTAAAAATAATGTTTGGATTCAGAATTTGTAAGTACTGTTATGTGAATTGGTAGCAATGGAAATTTAAGTTTCGTTTCGTCCAGGAGTTTTGTTATCTAATGTTATGTCTACTACAATCTAGGGTTGTCTCTTACTCCAAACATATTAATTCCGCAATTTTTGCTCTTATATATTAAGAAAATGGTTAGAGATGAAAAAATGTTGATTCCATTCTGAGTTCTGCTGACTGAGGAAATGGCTTGCAGTTGAGGAAATTGCTCACTTGGAAGAGTCAGTGTCGTTATTAATATTGAAAAGTTGCATGTATTGGAATGAGTTGTATTTTTTATTTTTCGGTGAAGATTGGGATGGTGTAACTGATAGCTGAATCGCTGATTTATCGCAAAAGTTGGCACGGCCTTCGCTACCAAGGCGTGATAAATGATACTTTAAGTTATTACTAACTTTCAAAGCAATGGTATATTGATGAGTCATGCCTATAAAAATCTAATGTTATTTATAGAATAATTTATACCTTGTTCGATCACAATCCAATATTTATGATAAGTTATTCGCTGTCATAATGACTACTTTAAGTTTTATCAAACTTGATTTATATTTAGTTAATAGTGTTAAAATTATATTCACAATATATATTTATAAACTTATTTGTTAATAACCCCAAACGTGTAGTTCGGCGGTAGGATTGATCCATACTTAAGTAATGTTAAGGGTTTAAATCCTGCCTTGTGTATGTAATCGCTTAAAGTCTTGGAGTCACCTATCTCACCTTTTGAGGTGCCTCCAACATAATAAGGAGATTAGTCACTGCTATCGGCGGTGAATACTTTAAGGACGAACAAAAAAAAACTCATTTGTTAACCTCTTTCTATTATTAACAATATTTTATACTTTTTTCCCCTCTTTTCGTTGTAATAATATCTATCAACAAAATAGTAAAATATAGAAGAGTTTTATTACGGCAATCAAAATTAAAGTTTATTTAATTGAATTTCTGACTTATACGTGTACCCAATTTTATAGTCATTTACTCTCATACCTCAAGTGTTTTATATTCATGTAGAATGATTTTGAGCAAGATCCAATCACATGTGTGCCTATATCGGTGACTCGCGTTGCGGCATCTACATCAAGTTCATTGATGTAAATTAATTGTGAATGCAGAGTTACGTGCTGAGTAAGTTAAGGCTACTCAATATCCCTGTCTATTTCCAATTAATTGGGCTGGGTTATATAGTTGAAATTAAATTTTAGTTATAACCTCTGTTAAGTTTAAATTAGTTTCAATGCAAGAATTCTCCGCTGGTAATTACTTTACAGTATAGTTCAATTGTCACCAAAATCAGGCTGTGTTTAAAAAATTTGAGGCCTGGCCAAACTTTATAAGTCATACTTTAATATATTTTATTATATTTATGTTATTATTTAAATTTTTTTAACAAAAAATTTAATAATTAAACAATTTTAATATCCCATTTAATGTTAGTTCATTCAATATTATCTCATAACATATATAGGTTATATCAATTGAATCTTAAAACATTAATTAGAGAAAAACTCTTTTGAGAATGAATGCAAATATTTTTAATTATTCCATAAACATTAAATATATGTAAAAATAATCATTTTAATATAGCTGAAATCTTTTAATAAGAAATTAATTTCTTTTATTAGTATTTTTTTAATACTTTCAATTTAGAAAACAAGTCAATACTACTAATATAAAATTAATGCTTACTAAAACTTAAATTTATCTCAAAATTAATATAATATTTTATTTTTGATTTATTTTATTTTTAAATTTTCATCTATTGAGATTAATGTAAAAAATTCAATTTAATATTGTATTTTAAATTTTGTTCAAATATGCTATAATATAAGAAAATAAAATTATTTAATACATGCATAACAATATAATAAAAAATAAAACATTTTTATGAGAACAAAAGATATTAATATTTAAATAAATGAGTGATTTCATTACCGTCATTTTTATAAAAAAAGAAAAAGAAAAAAGAAAAAAAGAAATACAAGTCATTCTATTTTTTATAAAATTCAATTAGTATATTCATTCAAATGCCAATTTTTATTTTGAACTCAAAGAAAAATTAAACTAATCTTTTCTATAATTTTTTAAATTAGTATAATTTCTATAATTAGTATATTCTTAAACCATATGATCTTACTAGAAAATTATCCATAATTAATATAATAATCATTTAAATTAAAATTATTTTTCATATAATATATGTATAAAAAAATTGAAAGGGGGTAAGGTAGTTGCCTCAGACCAAAATTAGAACTTTGTTTTTATTTTAGTATCTCTCGTCGTTTTATAAAACTAGTGTAGCATTTCATATAACAGTAAAAAAAAACTAAATAAAACGACAGAGAGGGAGCCCCCGACTCTGAGGGGGAGGGGTTCACTGGCATTGGAGTAGCACCAATTTGTTCCATAAAAGAACGATCAAAACAAAACAAAAGAAAAGAAGAACACCAACAGATTCGAGTGATTATCCAGTTATAGAGACTTGAGTGGCATGGCAACTTTGGTGACAAAGTGACAGAACATGTTATTACCAGTTAAAATTTTCATGATTTTGACAAACTCGATGCATGTCCATATACATAATCGATTGCCTACAAATAATTCCAATAGCTGTATTTCTCGCTAAACATTATTTTAGGGTCATGTTCTGGTCACAGGAAATTGTTGTCTGCTTTCGACTTCGAATGGTCTCATTGCGACGGGACCATTCAGAAGTAAGTTGTCTTTTTTGCGAATATGATTTTATTTGGACAACTAGTTAGTAGTAGGTGATAAATTAATTAGGAGCACTCTCTCGTGAGTCGAGGTCACAAGAGTTATAGGAAATATGGTGCTAACTTATAATAATAAGTCACTTTAAGATAGCATATTAAAATGTAGGTTTAAATATATTTTTATTTTTTAAAATTTAGGATAACTTTATTTTTATTTTTTAAATTTAAAATGCTAGTTTTGGTTCATGTAATTTTTCAAAATCTTATTTTAATCTCTTATTAATTTAACAATAACATATATGAAAGTGATAAATTAAAACGTTTACACGTCATCAATTGACTTTAACGTGATATTTTTATTAATAGGGACACTAGTAGATAGGTTTTATGCGACAATATTTGATAGATTTTTTAATAAATTTTGATTATAACGGTTAAAATAAAATTTTTGAAAATTATGAATATTAAAAATAATATTTTTAAATTTGAGGGGTCAAAACAAATTTACACTATCTAAATGAAAAATTTGAGAGATTAAAGACAAACTTAAATTTAATATCTAAACAATGAGAATGGAGCTTAAAAAATGGAATGTTATTGATATATGACTTGACCTGAGAGTACATAACCCTTTAATAATAATTAAAAAAATGAATGAGATTTAAAGATAATATACTGATGGAAAAAAAGTTTTAAAATTGGTTATTTTATATTTTTAAAATCGATTATTCAAAAGAGCCATGTACAATTTATCTTAACTCATTAATTATAACTGAGAGTAAACGATTACAATACGCTGATAGTGCATAATTAATATATTTTAGTACATTGCATTAATCTTATTTGACATTTACAAGTATCTTAAATTGATGAATTGATTGACATTTGTTTTAGTAGACTATATTTTGGTTTTAATTTAATTAATTTTTATAATTTTTGTCTATTTTGACATACTGTCTTACATAAGTTATATTTAGAGCTCTTATACTCAGAATCAGACATTCTTAGTGTCTCTAGAAAGCTAAGATAGAACTCTACGACTTCTTTTTTAGGAGTTTCACCCAATTCAATGTTTAAGGGTCCAAAAATACACCTCAATGTTATACCTTTACATTTCATTTTGGGTTTACTTCAGGAAGTTCTTGTAATAGTAATCTAACCTTGTTAATTAGTTGATTATTGAGTCGAACGACATATTAATTTTTTATTTGCCTTGGATAATTTTTGTTTTTAAAAATTAAACTGAACCATAGGGGAGTTGATATATACAAATTGAGAAAAATTTATCTTTATTATTATTTTAATTTTTAATAAGAATATTTATTATATTTAAACAATTTGATTAATACTAGATAATATATTAGTTCGTTGACATACAAAATTTTAATCTTATATATATATATATATATATATAT